TAGAATAGAATAGAATAGAATAGAATAGAATAGAATAGAATAGAATAGAATAGAATAATTTGCTAAATTTAAGAAGTGACTCTGGGCAGCATACAACAATCAAATTAAATAAATAATATAGAAACAATCATTTAAAAATAGAGAATCATTATTGAAAGTTAAACCATTGCTAAAAAAATTAAGTATGCAAACCACAAGTAGAAAGAGTAAATATTGCAACTATGTATCATCCATAATAGGGGAGCTACCTTAAAATATCGCCAATTCCTTGGGATCCCACTCCTAGTGACATGACCAGGTCTGGAGTGACTTCCTGAACATTAACTTCGGGGGCGGGGGAAATGTTCCATAAGATGGACGATTTCATGGCTTCCTCATTTACCCTCCAGTAGAAGGACATTTTTATGATATTATATATTATTGCCATAATTTATGTTGTACTGACATTACAAGGAAGGGACCAATTAAACCTACTTTCATATTTTTTAATCTTTGTTTGACCCACACATGACAATATCATAATATGAATGATGTGTGAATGGGAACACTAAACAATATTTTTTATTTTAAAATCAGAATTTGTACCTTCCTAGCTTATGCTTGTTTTATTTTTATGCTCTTCCCTAGTCTCATACTAATCAACCTTCAAAGGGTACAAGTTAAGAACCACTAAAATAAGTAGGAAGATAAATCAGGAATTGGTCAAATAAGCCAGTATGATTTTATTCAATAGAAAGACCAGCTTACTTGCTCTGAGTTCAGCAAAACAAACTATACTTGATGTATAAATGCAGTTAGTGGTCTAGTTCCTACATAACATTAAATCATGTTGTGGTTTGTTATTTTTCACTGTTTTTTATTTATGAACAAGATTAATATAACATTCAGCAAAGCATGCAATTGTTAAAATTCTGGATCATCATATATGTAATAGGGCAATATATATACCTACCTGGAATATAATTTGCCAATGAAAATTTCAAATGATAGAAAAGTGATTAAAATGATAGAAAATTATGTTACGGCATGACAGAACCTACAGCAAATGTGTGTGTATGAGTGCTTGTGTGTGTGTGTGTGTATAGTTGGTTTTATATATAGATAGATAGATAGATATGTGTATATAAATACATACACACACACATATTGCATATATCTGTGTATACAGACACACACACACACACACACACACACAGAGAGAGAGAGAGAGAGAGAGAGAGAGAGAGAGAGAGAGAGAGAGAGAGAGAGAGAGAGAGAGAGAGAGAGAGCTAAAGAAGCCTAATCTGCCAAGAAAGATATATCTTAAAAGAAAATGTCTACAAAGATGATTTCATTACACTTTGAAATCTTAACAAGCAGAATCCTTGGTAAAAGCATCATGTACAAACTACTATCCAAGGAATATTTAAAAAAAACATTTTGTATCTTAGCCATGGGCAACCACCTGAAAAGAAAATTTGTGATGCATGATNCAAACGCAGCCAGAGTGAACAATTCTGTAAACAATGGGTCCGTTAATATTTGCTATTTCCTTGCAATCTCTGTTTTCACCTGTCTCCTCTGGTGTGTGAGATTTCAAACAATTTATTTTTCTTCCCATATTTCATTGGTTTACCTTCTCTGATGTCATAATTGAGTTTGTCTGATAGCCTTGAAACATTCTAGTTGCATATTCTAAGGTTTGTTGGAGTTATCTCTGAAACCAAGGCAAATTTAGGAATCTAACATTATGATAGATGGGAAAAAACATCTTGAACTTAATAATACAATATTTTTCCAGCTGTTATTGAAGGAGAGGAACATATGAAGTGGGAGAGAAGCATAAGATGCTAGTATATCTGTTTCCCAGATGGCATGTTGCATTGGCACACCTATTTTATCTAAACTCTTTTGTCCAGAAATTGCTAGCAAATAAAGAGCGTCTGAAATGTATAGAATGCATAGTACATTATTTAAGTGTGATTTGCCAGAAACCTTGTATTAATTATAACACTAGCAAAGTTTTAAAATGTTAATAAGCCACAGGTGCTTGATTTATGAAAACCTTTGGGACCAAAATCTTGGTCATAAAGCAAAGTAGTCATTAAATGTCATGTGATGGTTTCACTCAATGACTGCAATCGTGGCAGTCCTGGTTGTGGTCTTTAAGCAATCATTAAGTAGACAAAGTGCCAGATAAAGAATGTGGCATGCCTCAGGGCCACGAGGGTTTAGACTTTCCCAAATTCTAAGTTTAACATGTATTAGTAAGCTAAATATTGGAGCCCAGGTAACATGTTGCTGATAAAATATTAAGGATTTGTGATTATAAAAAATTAATAAAATATGGTTATAATGAAGACTACTGTGCACGTGTGAGATACTTAACATCTTCTGCAAGTACAACGTGCATCTTCCTTTGAAGATGGGTACTTGTCTAATGCCATATCTATGCCACAAAACGCATGTTCAAACTAGA